CCCTCCCGGCCCCCCCCACCCCCCCCACCCCCCCCCCCGGCCTGGAGGCTAGCCCGCGGGCGTCTGGCTTGTTGATCCGGTACCATATGGCCCCACATTGCTCCGCAGGCTGCCCAGAGCAGGAGTCGGGTGGATGAGGGCTGCGGGCGTCTCCTCTCTGTGAGGAGTTTGAATCTGTCTTACATACAACGGGGCTGCAGGACGCTTAACTGCACGGGAGAACAAAGAAGAAGGTGGCGCGTCTTTGCCACCCGAGCGCTGCAGACGCAGCCACTGCACGAGGCAGCCGGGGCTTCTGTTGGGCCGTGCTGCGTGGCTAGCGACAGGCGCACGGGTGCTCAGCGCCCCGGCCGTCTCGCGACTCTGTGTCTTGCTTCTTCTCCACGTCGTATCCGAGGTTTCGTGGTGCCACGAGCTCGTCTGCAGAGCGCCTCTCACGGCCCGTCGTGCTTCTGTGAGGGCGGCGGGCGCCGCCTGCCTCCCCCGCTCCCACGGTAGGAGGGAAGGCCAGCAAACGTTTCCTTGCAAAGCAAGTGTTTGATGGGCTTGTTTAGGAGACTGAAGAGCTGTGGATGCAACAGCTCACCAGCAGGGACTCTTTCCACCTTGAAATCATGCACTAACCTTCTGCTCAAGGTCGAAGCTAAGTCAGCCTCAGAACCCAGCTTTGGGCCTGTGGTGCTCACCTCACCTCCTAAGCATCAGAGGCCCTTTTCTGGGTGCTTATGCAGCTACTCTGAATCGTCCCTCAAGCATCAAGGGGACTTTCAGTTTGGAGTCGGCGGCTGGATACGCCCAGACTATGCTGCATGCTAGGGGCTCACAGCGTGCTGTTAGGGAAGAGAGTTAAATGCCAGCTCGTTGCCTACAGAGGCTAGGCGTGGGGGGACGTGGGGGAGGGGGTGGGGGGGGGGGGGGGGGTGCAGGCTCGGAAGAGCAGGCACAGGGCCAGGCTGGGAAGGGAAGCACATCTGTGGCTTCTGGGGGGGCGCAGAGTGCAGCCAGAGTGGGCCCTGCTGTTACTGCCTGCGGCTGCGACATGTGTCACCAATCATTGCTTACTCACGGCGGGGACAGTGCCAGCGCAGGAATGGCTTGCCCCCACCCTCTAGGGGCCCTAGGGGCTTTCACTGAGCCACAAGCAACCACTCCTTCCAGAAACTCCTCTTGACACAGAGGCTGACCACAGACGTCCGGCGGGTGCTCTGTGGGGGTTCCCCTTTCTCGTTTTCCCGTTCTGTGGCACCTGTCATCCGAATTCACCCCATCCACATTCCCGGGCAGGGAGGGTCCCACACAGCTCCCCGTGGTGACGGCGGGTGGGGGCGGCGCTGCCCTGTGCCCCATAGACTGGGGTGCATTTGAGACGCTGCTGCTGGGTTTTAGCTCATAGGTGTGTGTCTTGCACACGATTTGGTTTCTTTTCTGAGTTGATGGAGCACTGTCACCAGCTCATGCCTACACTGTGTCTGTGAGTCTTGGGGGAAAACCCAACACTTTTCTTGAAACCCAGGACCTGTTCTGCCTTGTGAAGGGGCTGGATAAATGGGGTGGGGAGGGGGTAAGAGGAACCACTAGACCCTTTGGAAGGGGGTCAACCCAGACTGCCCCGAAAGCCCCGGGCCCACATGAGATACAGTCCTACACAGTGTGGGACACAAATGGTGCCTAACCTATTCGAGCGCATCCTTTAAGAATCGGGCCCTTTTATTTTACTTTTCAAACTTTTAAAAAAATGTTTATTTATTTTTGAGAGAGCGAGAGAGACAGTGAGAGCTGAGGAGGGCCAGAGAGAGAGGGAGACACAGAATCTGAAGCAGGCTCCAGGCTCCGAGCTGTCAGTGCAGAGCCTGACGTGGGGCTGGAACCCACAAACTAGGATATCATGACCCGAGCCGAAGTCAGATGCTTAATGAACTGAGCCCCCCAGGCGCCCCCAAACTTGCTTCTTATTGAAGTCCGCAAGGGGCAAGCAGATGATGTGAAGTGGCAGAGCGGCTGGGTGTCCTCAGGGAAGTATGGTGGGGACAGTGGTGAACTGGAGAGGAGTCGCCCAGTTTGGGGGCCCCTGTCGCGTCCCCCCAGCTGATGGTTACCGTGGGGTGGAGGGACCGCAGGCACATGGGGGTCAAATCTTCCCATTTTCTAAGAGAAGCTGGGAAAGCAGAGTTTTCTGTGAGAGCAGCCGGTTTGGAAAGGTGGCTCTGACTTCGTCCCTGAGATGCGCCACAGGCCGGAGGAAGCCGGTCTGTGTCCTGCGGCCTCTGCTATTTCATGACAACGTGCTCACTCCAGAAGTTAACAGCTTGAGGCATCGCAGCAAGGACGGCCTCGGAGGGTTCACTGCTCACTCGAAGCCCATTCCTTCCACCCCCCAGCGAGTGGTAATTCTCCAACGCTGCAGTCAGGCCATGAGGAAGACTGTGTTAGTGAAAACAGGTAAATAACATTTCTGGAGGGTCTTTTTTTTTTTTTTTAATATTTATTTATTTTGAGAGAGAGACAGAGAACATGAGCAGAGGAGGGGCAGAGAGAGAGGGAGAGAGGGAATCCCAAGCAGGCCCCGCACCGTCAGTGCAGAGCCTGATGCGGGGCTCCCTCGCACAAACCAGAGACCATGACCTGAGCTGGAATCAGGAGTCGGATGCTTCACCGACTGAGCCCCACGGGTGCCCCGCAAAGGCTCTTTACAACACAGCATCCCTGAGGGTGTGTGTTTAATAAAGTCATTACCACCTGCATTATTAAGGCTCAGGAAGGCTTGGGGGTGCCACCACGGAGAGTTTGGGTGACGTCACAGCATCCTAGAACCCGAGGCTCCAGCCGGCTGAGTCACTGGCCGAACGGAGTTTGGGAGCAGGTGGGCGTGCCATCTACCGGGGCAGGTAACCGGGTCGGGTGCGGGCACTGCCCACCGTCCCCGTAGCCCCTCCTGCCGGCGGGAAACAGCCCCAACAGCTCCTGCATTTGTCAGGAGGGCCAGATTTGCTTCCAGACAGAACGTTTCTTTTCCAGTTGCGATGAGGGTTTTGCGGCCGTTTGGACCGGCCCAATAAATCCATGCGAAGCCGTATCCTGTGGCGTGCCAGAAAGGCGGTTTTCCGAAACTGAATACCTTAAAAGTGTGAGCAAAGGAGAATGGCCCCAAGGGCTTGTCAATCAGCCGCCTTCCTCCAGGCTGGCTCAGTGCCACCTGGAAATGTTTCCCCTGCGTCCCCTGCCCGGCCACGCCCATCCAGTGGCCTTCCTGTAGGAGGAGAGGCTAAGACCTGAGGCCCCAGCAGATTTGTATGGTGATAAACTGGGGAGCCTAGGGTAAGATGTGGCCTAAGTTCTATCTGCAACGTTTCCTGGGGACCTGGAATTAGTACATTTTAAGATTTTTAATACAAAGAAAAAGATCAATACCTAAACCTCAGTCACTTAAAAATAAACATTTATATCAAGGCACGCCATCATTCCACAAGCCACCAGGAAAGAAGGAAAGGAAGCACAGGCAAATGCAGGCGGCAGGTGCCTGGCTCCCGCCATTAGGAGAAGACAGCTGGGATTTCTGGGACAGGTGGGCACAGGCTTCTTGGAACCCCGGAAGTGGCATCAAAGCCCACTGGGGGGTGTGCAGGCCACCGGCTCATTCTGACGTCCTCTTTCTAGAAGTTCCAGGCTTGTGGCAGTGCCTGGGCTTGTGGCAAATCCCCGCCAGGCTCCAGGACCTCACCTAGAAAAGGGGGCCGTGAAGCGCACCCCGCGCCGCAGCAAAAGTGACACTCCCTGTGGGCAGTCTGCAGGTGGCGCCTAGGGGTCCCAAATGGTGACGTCACAGCAGGGGCTGTTTAACTCTTCTGGTTTTAGCTGTTATAATTGGAAAACAAGCTCTTCATGTATGTATATTTAAGTCATTAAAACATTTCAAATAGTCTAAGAAACCTGGGCTCTGCCTCCATCAGGACTGGATCGGAGTCGCCCTTTGTCCTCATCTCCCCCCCCCCCCCACGCCGCCCCCACCCGGGGGTGGGTCGTCCAGCCCTTCCTCTGGTTTCCATTAATGTGCAGCTGGGGTGGGACCCGCCAGGGCCCAATCCCCTGGAAGCCAATGGAAGTGGGGGCTGGGGGGGGTGGTGGCGGCCAGCCTGTAGGTGGCGCCCCGGGAAAGGGATTCCGAGCTGCGTTCTTCAAGCTCCAGGGGACCAGAGCCCGGGTCCTGCGGTGGAGCGCACCTGGCTGCGTAGACAGTGCGGAGCCGGATGGAAGGACCCGGTGCGGCGGAATCACAGGCAGCGCGGCGCCCCTGCGGGGGATGCGCACCGAGGGGCGCAGAAGCGGCACGTGGCGCGACCCCCACGCGCGGCAGGGCCCTCCAGCCCCTCCCTGCGGCAGGTGGACAGTGTCGCTATGAAGAGAAAGCCCGGATTGTCCCTCCTGCAAACCGCCACACGCCAGGCCCCCGCTATTGTGCGCTCCCCATAGAAATGCAAACGAGCCGCGTGCGCCGGCCGCAATCTGCTCGCGCGCCCTGCGCCCCGCAGCGCAGCGCTGGGCCGGCGGGGAGGCCGCCTGGGACCCCCGGGCGGCGGGCGCGCCCCGGGCGCTGCGTCCTGGAGGCGGCGGCCCCGAGGCCCTCGGCAAGGCTGAAGCTCGAGCTGGGTGTTCTACACTTAAGTTCCGGTGTAAAAGCAACAGTCTTCCAAAACTTCAAATGAAAAGTAAAGAAGAAAATAGAAAGGTAGCGACAAAAATAAATGCACACACACCAAAAATCTTTCGTTTCTCCAAAGGTGCATTGCACACATTACACCGTCCTATTAGCAAGCAAGGATTTTTTTTTTTAACTTTTTCCTTTTAAGGACTTAAAAAAACAAAAAGGCGAGTGAAATGTGCAGGCTCCAGTCTGCCTGGTAACACCCGCACAAAAGCGGCAGATTTGAGGCTTTGTCATCCCCCGCACCCCTCCCCACGTGGCCTTCTGGCACGAGCCGCGCCGCCGCCTCATTTGCATCAGAAAGCGGGCGCCGGCCAATGGGCGCGCAGCCTGGCGCCAGCTGGCGGCGGGGCGGCCCGGCCTATATGAGGGCGCGCGGCGGGCTGGGGCGCACTTGCCAGCCGAGCGCTCGCCGGGGGCCCCAGTCTCCCGGTCCCCGCCGCGCCCGCGCCGCTCGCTCCTTCCTGGGTAACTAGCCAGCCGCTCGCCGACCGAACCATGACTCTGGAGGAAATCCGCGGCCAAGACACGGTTCCCGAAAGCACCGCCAGGTGGGTTGGCTCCGGGCGCCGAGGTCTCAGGGCGCTGGGAGCCTGGCGCTGTCTTGGCCGCAGCTGCTCGGGCGGCCACCTTCGCGGACCCGCGCGGACCGGGGGCCGCTGGGCGGGAGCCGGGGCGCCTGGGGTGCGTCCCCGGGGCTGGGGCGACCGGGCTGCGTCCCCGGGGCTGGGGCGCCTGGGGTGCGTCTCTGGGGCTGGGGAGACCGGGGTGCGTCCCCGGGGCTGGGGCGACCGGGCTGCGTCCCCGGGGCTGGGGCGCCTGGGGTGCGTCTCCGGGGCTGGGGCGCCCGGGGTGCGCCCCCGGGGCTGAGGGATCCCCGCTCACCGCGCTGGCTCGTCCGCAGGATGCAGGGCGCCGGGAAAGCGCTGCACGAGCTGCTGCTGTCGGCCCAGCGCCAGGGCTGCCTCACCGCCGGCGTCTATGAGTCCGCCAAAGTCCTGAATGTGTGAGTGTGGACGCGGCCCCGGGTGGGGGCGGCGGCGGCGGCGGGGCACCCGGGCTCGCCGCCTCGCCCTCACCGCGCCCTCCCCGCCCGCGCAGGGACCCCGACAACGTGACCTTCTGCGTGCTGGCCGCCGACGAGGAGGACGAGGGCGACATCGCGCTGCAGATCCACTTCACGCTCATCCAGGCGTTCTGCTGTGAGAACGCCATCGACATCGTGCGCGTGGGCGACGTGCAGCGGCTGGCGGCGATCGTGGGCGCGGGCGACGGGCCGGCCGCGTCCGGAGACCTGCACTGCATCCTCATTTCGGTGAGTGTCGCCTCGGCCCGGTGTCGCCCCGCGCCGCCGCGGCCGGCCCCCCTGGCTGACCTCCGCGCTCTGCCCGCAGAACCCCAATGAGGACGCGTGGAAGGACCCCGCCTTGGAGAAGCTCAGCCTGTTCTGCGAGGAGAGCCGCAGCGTCAACGACTGGGTGCCCAGTATCACCCTCCCCGAGTGACCGCCCGGAGGGGGCCTTGGTCTGATCGACGTGGTGGCGCCCCGGGGCGCCTAGCGCGCGGCCGGCTGTGTGGACGCGCCCTCGCAGGTGGGGCGCCGGAGCGGAGCGCCGCACCGGGAGCGGCGAGGAGGGGCGGTCCGCTGCAGGAGGGGCCCGAGCCCGGGGCTCCGCGAGCGTGGGGAGCCGCTGCCGGCCCAGGAAGGCCGGAGGCGGGCCGTTGGCCACGGGCCGGGAAGGCCGGGCCGGCCGGGCAGGCGTGACTCAGCAGCCTGCGCTCCCGGCAGGAAGGAGGGGAGAGGCCAGGCGGGCGAGGCCTGGACGACCGTTGCAGGAGCTGCGACGCACTGAGCGCCTGCACGCGGTGCACTAGTTTCGGAAGGATTCTGCTGCTGCACCTTTGACTTTTTCACAATAAACGTACTGAAACAAACATATTCTCTTTATTGAGGGCAGGGGGCCCTTGCGCAAGGCGGAGGCGGCTTGCAGGGTTCCAGGTGATGGCTGGCACCCCCGGGGGCCTGGATGGCACCCACCCCGTCCTCCCGTGGGGCTGAGTTAGGGGCTCCGGGGGCGCTGGGCGTGGGGGTGGGGGCGCCGGCGGGTGTTGAGCCCCTGCTCCCGTTTCTTTCTTTTTAGGGAGATTTTTAAACGTGCAAGACAGGAGCATACTTGAGATAAGACATCAGGGCAGCAGCTAAAGGCTGGCCATCCAGCCTGATAACAGCGGCCCCTCCCTCCCCTCCCCCTCTCCTGCCCGCAGCCCCCTCCCTGCTGACAGCTGCTTATCAGAGCAGCCTGCAGGGCGCACAATGAACACTGCCTCATGCAGGCGCTGCCCTTTGTGGTCCCTGAGGATGGGGGCAGAATGCTGTCCAGAGCCTTCCCCTCTGCAAGGCACTGCGCTTACGGCAATGTCACCACGGTATTAATGTCGTGCATGACATGATGACTGTGTTTAGGTATGAGTCATCATTTTGTCACGGCTGCGGTAGAACTTCAAAGATCTGAGCAAAAACGGGAAGGCGGCGTCCACACAAACGGGGTGAGCTACTGTGAGTGGAGCCAGCATCTGTTACCTGCTATTCTGAGCGCTCTCTGCCCACAGCTGAGTTAGGAGGCCGCTGTTCCCAATGCCGTTTCAACACTTGTGGAAGCAAAAGAATGTAAAGCTTTGCCACAAAGACTTTCTTTGAGAAACATCCAGGGAGGGAGATGTCCGGAGTGAATCAATCTTTTTTATTAGGCCAGTATGTCTGATTGCGCCTCTGTGTGCTTGACCGGAGCCGCGCGGCCGGCAGGGGAAGTGCCCATGGGGCCGGCAGGCTGTTAGCAAATTGCCCGGCAGCCCAGGGAGCCTTCTGGGCAAAGGAAGGGCGGTGTGTTGTTTTCCTAAGCAGAAAATTCTACCAATTTACCAGCAGTCCCAGGTGGCTGATTCACCCTGTTGGGCTCCACTTTTTAAGTTCTCTCCCAATCCTGCAAGCGTCCACAGGAAAAGAGCACCGTTCGACCTTAATTACTCTTCCCGGAATGAAAGCGTTCTGGGTCACATTTATCATCTCTTCAAGACATCTCCCCCTTGATTAGACGGAGGCCCAGTGAAATAATTCAGCTGTGTGTGTATGTGTGTGTGCGTGCGTTTGCGTGTGTGTGTGTGTGTGTGTGCACACGCCTGAGTTTCCTTAATATTTTACCTATTTGCTTCTCAGGACCTCGAGCTTTCCTGCAGGGTGGCTGTCTACACCAGCTCGCATTCTGGCAAATGACCATTTGCCACAGCATGCCATAGTAAACACATATGGGGTGTAATTACCCTAAAATGTGCCCTTCAATGAGTAAATTTAGCAGAACATTGCCCAGAGCGGGCAGGCAGACCCTCCTGCTGGCCGACTGACCCCTTGTAGACCAGTCAATTGGCAGCTCTTAAGAAACTCGTCTTTCTTGGATTAGAACTTACAGCTAGGGAGGCTCCTGGAGCCTCAGGGGCTGGGAGAATTTGCCAGCAAAAAAAAAAAAAAAAAAAAAAAAAAAAAAAAATAAAGCACTCTTTCTTTCTTTCTTTCTTTCTTTCTTTCTCTTGTTGAATGGGATTTTATGCTATTCCAATGAAATACCCAGGTATTAAAATGCACGGTGCTTATAAACGCAGTATTGGGTCCACACTTGCAACAACCATACGTGGGAATGCGTAGACAAGATGATGATCAGATGCACGTTGAGGCATCCATGCAGACTGCATCTAGAAAGTGCTGCATGGATGTTAATGACAATAATACTTAAAAGTTAGGTCATTTGCCACAGAGCATAGACCGCCAGGTCGGCTGGTGGATTTAGGGTCCTGTCATCTGGTTCCAGGGCCCAGTGCTCTCCCTGCTGGAACACAGGTAAAGTTCCAGATCCCTGTGGATGGTGCAAGGAAGGCTACTTTTACGAGAAACTTTAGGGGGTGCCTGGGTGGCTCAGTCGGTGAAGCATGAGACTCTTCGATCTCCGCTCAGGTTATGATCTCACGGTTCGTGGGTTTGAGCCCCACATCGGGCTCTGTGTGGATGGCATGGAGCCTCCTTGGGATCCAGTCTCTTCCTCTCTCTCTGTCCATCCCCTGCTCATGCTCGCTTTCTCTCTCTCTCTCAAAATAAATAAACAAACTTAAAAAAATAAGAAAACTGTATAGAAGTTCTGTGCATTCATTGTAGAAAAAGTGTAAAATAACCTCCCCCCAAAAAGGTCAAAGCACTGTCATGGGCCGTCCCCACATTGGGTGTTTTCTTCCTCACGTCTCCTATACCTCTGAGGGGTACATACCATGTGGTCTCTCCCTGCCTTTGACTCCTGTTTGTCTCCCTTGGCGTCCTGTCACATGGCCCCGTGTCATTTGATGGCCCCCGGGGTCCCGCAGCGGGTCGCACCCTGCAGCACGGCATCTGGTCAGCGCACTGTCCTCATCTGGAAGGCCTCCCCAGCTGAGACGGACGCAGGCCTAGAGCAAAGCCGTGCCCCCCCAGTGATGGGGGTGAGAGGTCACGTCTGTATTTCAGGCCACCCTTGTCCACACAGGAGCTGAGGCCCGTCCTTTCCCTGGTAAGACGCGACAGTGAGCCAATCCTCGAGGCCTGTCTGTTTTCAGTGCCTGCAGCCCTGGGGGTGACCCGTCTCAGTGAGCTGTTAGCCTCGGAGCACAGTGGCCATTGCTCCTGAGGCCGACAAGGAGCCATTTGAGGAAAAGGTGTAGAAACGAAGTTTTCAGAAGAAAAGCAAGGACGTTGGCAAAGTGGGGTCAGTGCCGTGGGGTCAGCTCGGCGAGCAGACACTCAGTTTTGCTTTTTTTTTTGGAGCTTGGGGTCGACCTTCCCATCTGTCAGCTCCCGCCCTTCTCGTTTGGATGTGTCCCCCACGAAGAGCAGAGAGAGTGACTCCTCCCCAGCCACTGTGGAGACACTTCGGCTTAACGGAGGGGGCGGGGTGGGGGGACAAGGTCCCGCTTGGCGCCCGAGTCCCGCTGGGGGCTGTGGTTTGAGGGCACAGTTACACTTGGCCCTTGAAAGCCGCCCTGCTTCCCAGTTTAACTCAAGCTGTGCCTTCTAGAAAACAGTTTTCAGACTCTTTCAGCTCTGCTCCTAAGTAAGGTACGTGTGGAGGTCTCCCGCGGACCCCTCCTCCAAGGGCAGTGGCTGGGGGTGGGGGGGGGAAGGCAGCAGCATCGGTGAGGGGCCAGGACGACATGCATGAATGAGTCTGGGCGCTGCTGGGGCAGGTGGTTGCTGGAGGCCGCATGGGTCAGCCCCACAGGCCGCCAGGAGCTTCGCTTTGGAGACCTTATTTTTACAGGAAGCAACATCATTTTGAAGATGGGGTGGCCAGACCGTGAGGGACGGTGGGGGCCTAGAAGAGGGGATGGGCCCCCGGCCGACAGCCAGCAAGGGAAGGAGGGCCTCAGGTCCACAGGCACCAGAAACTGGATTCTGCTACAAGCCTTAGGCTTGGAAGTGGGTTCTTTCTGAAAGTCTCCAGGGGAGGCCCCAGCCTCGGTGGTGCCGGGCCTGGCCCCAGGAGACCCTGAACTGAGAGCTGGCCCTGTCAAGGTGCCCAGTTCTGACCTGCTGTTCTGCACCTTCCCCCGGGAAGTGAGCAGCCCGGGGGCCGCAGACTGAATCATGGTTTTTACCCTCCTCCCTCCCCTTATAGGAAATTTTCCAAGTGCCATTAAATCATACATTCTCAGCTTGGGAAGGAAGTAGTTGGTGTTTATTCCTCATTCTGCTAATGAGAAAGTGGCCTCGGGTAGGTGAAGCGGCTGTTGCTGGTGAGCTCTTCGGCGGTCCGAGGTGTGTCCGATATCCAGAAGACCTGCGTTTTCCAGGCTGGTTGAGGGCTGTCTGGCCCCACGGCGGCCGGGCCGTCCCAGGCCCAGCTGGCTGATACGCCGAACGCTGCACGTCAGACTTTTCCAGAGGGAAGGAAGCAGCTGGGAGTATGTGATCGGAGCAGCCTGGGGGTTACCTGCCCATGACGTTGGGAACCTGGCCTGACTGTCTGGAAATGTAGTCCTCTGGTTAAAGCCAAACTTCTTGTTACTGCTTGCGGCTTCCTGTTACCCTGAGGAGACACAGCCTCTGGGTGTGGGGACAGCAGGTGAGGGAAATACAGGAAAGTCCGCTGTGGGGTCTGAAAGCCAAGGCCTGGGAAGCAAGGTCAGTTAAAAGAACATTGTCAAAATGATGTAAACGCTTTTCTTTTCCTTCCCCCGCAAGCAGGCGCGGATCCTAGAGCCATTCGTTGGCCATTGCTTCATCTCACAGCACACGCTCAGTGTGGTTTTACTTCCTCACCTCAAGGGGAGGTGAGATTAACTGCCGGTTTTCATGACTCATTGGTTCAGGGCTCTGGGTCGGCCTTGGGCTGAAGTCTTCAGCCCTGTTGTCCTGTGCAAGGGGGTGGAGGAGATTCAGCTCTTTGACTCTGACTCGTCAGCTACCGCATCTTTGCGACGGTGGCCGGGGGCCACATTCCTGTACGTCTCTTCTTCCCCAAGTGGGACTGCCCCGGGAGGAAGATGTAAATTTGTTGCGTTTTTATTCTGGCAAAGCACAGGCCAATGGAATTCTAAGTGGGAACATCAACCTGACAGTGGAAAGCAATTGAGAGAGAAGATAGAGGCTGGAGAGAGTGTCCTGATTCTCAGCAAGACCTGGTTCCTGGAGCTCAGTCCCCCCCACCCCCAACCCACAGGACGGGAAGCACGGACCACAGGAAGCCGGGTGCGGATGGAGGACCCACTGAAACCACAGTAGGCGCGCTTCTGCCCGGGGTTTCTGCAGATCACTCCTGTGCTGCTTCTGCAGGCCTAGACGGTGACAAGGGAACGTCCGTGGAATGGGGTGGCTGGCCCATGCTCATCAGACGCTCAGCTGGGGCCAGCCCCGGGTTTGG